CCCCCCCCCAGGGGCCGACTGAGGGGTCAGAGTGGCCTGGCTCCTAATTCCCAGGCTCCCGAAGTGCACAAGGGCCTTTGTGTTTTTAATCAGGACACACAGGGACCTGAAGAGCTGGGCAAACAAATGGATTAATCCTGCCCCAGTCCACACTGCCCAGTTCCTGGGCTCCATGGTGACAGGAGCGTAGGAAAACCCAACAGAGACCTAAGAGCCTGCGTTGGGGGAGGGGTGCAAAGGGCTGGACCTCGCTGTTCTAAGGTTCAGAGAAAAATGTGTCTCTGCCCTCCAGGTTTGTCACCCCAAGAGGTGTTGGTTTCACATCCCTTGCTTTCCGCCTGCTTCCCTGTCTGTAAAGTGGGGTTGTTGAGGCCAGAAAGGAAAGCACAGCGAAGGCGCTGACAGTTTCAGGCACTGTGGCCTCAATCTGGAGACTCTGAGGAACTGTGGGCACGAGATGTGGTGGGCGGGCTGGACAGCCCAGGCGGCTGACGGTGGGGAGTTGGCGCTCTCCCCTGTTTAGAAAGGTGAGTGCGAATAGGCACGGGTGAGGGACACCAGGTGACTGGACAGAAAGGGGGAGGGGAGGAGGGCAGGTGAGCAGGGCAGATGGTCAAGACGGGGTCGGGGTGCTGGGCAGCCCTGCCAGTGTTCCTCAGAAACTTCTGGCTGGCAGTGAGGAGGGGCAGCGAAGCGAAGCGGAGCCAAGGGGGCGGAGGGAACCAGCTGAACGGGGTGCCCTTCTGTCCCGCAGTGAGCAGGAAACTCCTGCCAGCCACAGACAAATCCAAGTTCCAGTCTCTTCATTCACCTGTCAGCAGGCCTCGCCCTGGGTCCCCCACAAGCACCTAGTGACACAAGCACCCAGAGGTGAAAGAACTCAATGTGTGCCGACTGCTGCCAAGGACGAAGCACACTGAGGGGCTTGTGCTCCTGAGGGCCTGCTTCTCTTGCTGAGGAGGGGCCAAGCACCCCTTATTCTGGGAATGCTGTCTGACCCTCAGAGATCTTTGATACCAAAGGAATGAAGGAAACCATCCCCGCACCCATCTACTTACTATCCCCAAATAAGTAGCTGAGCATCAGAAGGACGGGGGTAGAGAAAAAAGGAAAAAGCCAGACATCCTGGGGGAGGAAGAGGGGGGTCCCCAGAGCCCAGAGCTCCAGCACCAGGGCCTGACCTGCCTCCCCAGGCATCTCCCTTACATTCCTCAGCCCAGACCGACTGGGGAATGCAAAGAATCCCTTCCATACTCTGCCCCCCTTTCTAGAACATTCCAAGTGCTGGTTTTTTCCCTCTTGAAACTCCAGTAGCATGAGAGAGGAATCCACCATGGGGTCCCATGGGCACCCTCTCCCCCAGCTCGGCTGCCAGGCTGACAGATGAGTGGAAAAGATGATGGTCACAGCCACCCCCTCGTCGAGGCTGCTCCCCCTCAGAGCCCCTTTTCTGTGAAGAAAGAGGTCAGAGCCGCAGAGGCAGGAAGGAAGAAACTCAGGGAGGGAGGAGTGAGCTGGAAGACGGAGAGGAGCCCAAGAGGCCAGGTGCTCGGCTGCTACCCCAAGACCACCTAGACCCCGCTGGGCCACCACAGCTCTACAGTCAGAGCCGTGTTTGACTGCAGCACAGAGCCAGCTCATTCTCTACGGCTGGCGCTGCCCAAGAAAAAAGTGCCCATGCAGAGATCCAGCAGTTGGGCCAAAATCCCTAAGTCCCTGAGATTCTCAGCTCAGCCCAACAGCCACAACCTGGAGTCAGGCTCACCCTTGCCTCAGCTGACCTGGGATATAAGCAGAGCCATAACTTGGAACCGAGGGAATCCTCTTCGTATGGAACACCCTGGCACAGGGCCTTCTGTCCTGCTGTAGGCAGGAGATTCTTGCCAGCCACAGACCTGAGCTCAATCTCCCTGTCCATTCAGCCTGCCTGTGGAGAGGTGAGGAACAGACGGCATGGGCATTTCCCAGCCAGGGGGCTTCAGGGAGCTGACAAGTCAAAGGTGACAAACAGCTGAGCACATAATTGGCACTCATGAAACGCCTGCTGAGCTGTCTGCTGGAAAATGCAGGCGCACACCTACCAACAGGTGCACAGATAGGTGGTAAGTGGGGAAGATGAGCGGAAGGATCCTTGGGAGGATAAAGCTTTTCTCCTGCATGAGTTTTGCCAATATATGAACTAGCCACTCACTATTACATGAGAACAGAAGTGTCTGCTCATCTCTGAGCCTTAAGCCTAATGTCCTGACATAGAATGGGTACAGATAAATGTTCGCTGAACTTTTGAAAGATCAGTGGATGATGTCAGAGAGACAGAAAGCAGAAAGCCGGCTGCCAGGGCCTGGGGGCGAGGGCGTGCTAGTCAGTGTGAAGGGGACAGTTTCCGTTTTGCTCCATGAACAAGTTCTGTGGAGAGAGGATGGTGACGGCTGCACAACAATGGTGACTGGACTGCACACTTAAAGAGGGCACAGATGGCCAGTTTTTTGTGTATTTTACCACAATTAAATATTAAAGTAAAATAATCAATGGATGGTGGAAAACAATCGAATAAGATGACCCAGTGTCACAGTTGCCAGGGGATGGAATTTCATATTAAAAATGTCTACAGATTCTTCCACTCTCTGTAATGAAGTGTGCCAAAGCCAAGAGGTAGAGCGCTTTGGCTTAAGGCTGGGAAGGGCCAGGTAGAAGAATGTTCTAGAACTCGACACTGACCACTGAATAAAGTGCTAAACTCCTTTCTTGGTTCTCTGGAATACTCTGTCTTTTCTGTCTCTACAAGGTCTAACACTAAACTAATCCTGACCCCAAGAGATCAAAATAAAAGGTGAGGAAGACAGGGAGCAAGCCAACCAGGGGGTGAAACAAACAGGTTCTCTCGTTGAAAAGGAATGTGACATGGGACTGAATTCTGAGCCACTCAGACTATGCTTTTCACTGAAAGGATGGAAGTTAAAATGACAGACACATAGAAATTTTATTTTACAAAACCTCTATTGACCAGATTCCTCAGCACCCGGCTAGTGTCTGTGGATCTGATCAGCATCACAGTGTGACCCACGCATATTGGTTTAGCTCTCTTTGCTCTCAAGGCTTTTTCCAGTCCCTCACCCCAACTCCCCACTTGGTCCTGTAGCTGGCCAGCCATCCCTTGGCCACCCCAAGCACTATCTCATCCTTGTTCCAGAGTGTCACCTGCAGCAAGTTAATAATAAATGAAATGTCCCTTCCCCCACGTAGCTGAGTTAGGAACAATTAACAAGGTGAATTCTTAAGAGAACAGATAATCTTACAACACAAAATGGACTGAGGGTTTAGGTATTTTCACAATTTTCATTTCTCTGCCTTCATTACTGTTATATCCTCAAACACAGGGCCCATCCCAGAAGATCCGTGCTGTTTCTGGACCACCACACCCAAGGCTGTTCCTTCCCAACCCGCAGAGCACCTACTTGTCTGCTGCCACTGTCTGGCACCCATGGGATCAGTGCTTTTCACTGTAACTCAGTGCGGACCCACAGAAGAGGAACATTGAGAGCCACAGCCCAACGCCCTCATATAGATGCGCTTTCCACCCGCCTGCAACATCCTTCACAATGGCCCTTGACAGAGGGTTTACTGTTGGCTTTAGGAGCTACAGTCAGTCCAGCCTTCATTACCCTTGAGAGCCTCCTTGATGTCCTCCCTCCCCCACCTCCACCTCAACCACACCTTCAACCAGTGACTGCAGTTTGTACTCACGCCATTTTCGCTCACTCTGCACAGACCTAGGCTATTAATCTGCAGTGAACATAAAAAATAACACACACAGGATGCAGATGTTTGCATCTTTATTTTTAGAATGATGAGGACCCAAGGTAACAGCACCCTGAAGGCTGGAGAAACCTGGGCTTGCTAAGTGAACACGTTGATCTTTGTCAACATCTAGTATGCTGAGAAACCACCTCTTACCTACAAGTAAGCATCAGCTCAACCTGCATCTGCTTTCACATCCGAAGATCCGTTCACTTCACTTGGGACAATCAAAACCCTTAACAAGATGCTGTCCATGTGCAAGAGGGCCAGATGACCTATCTGTGCCTGTCTGTGGCAACTAGAGAGGTCAAGGGAATGACTTAAAATCACAGAAGCTTAATGCTCTTATGCAGGGAAATGAATCAACAGTGGTTAAGCCTGATGCTCTTAAGCAACTCATCAAACAATAATAACACGAATGAATGAATGATCGGGAGAGCAGAACTAGTGATCCAAGTTGGGTTGTTTCTGCTAATACGAGCACACATGTGTCAAATGGCTAGTTCAGCCTCTATGGTTCTCCCTCAGAACTCTCAGGGCTTGGAGGTGACTCTTCCAGGGAATTTTTTTTTTTTTAATGGCTAGCCATATTTCACAAACCATTTGTTTTTAACTTTTAAATCTATTTGCTTTCTTTTTTTTTTAAAGTTTAATAATTCCAGGGAATTTTTATAGATCACCAGTCTGGTCTCTGCCAATCTCTCTCTTATCTCCACACTGCCCAATGTCCTGTCTCTGTTAATCTTCTGATTTCATTTCAATGGAAGCAGCTGTTGCCATTCTCCCCTCCCCACATCCTACCCAAAAAAAGCTCCCCTCAAAGTTTTGCCTTCTGGAGCAACCTCATGTTATGGGCTAGTGGGTGGAAGTAGGAGAAAGGGGGCCCTGCTTTCTGGGGTGAATGGGAACCCATCAAGAGGGCATCCTTGTGCTCCAGTGACAGAACCACAGCTACTTAAATCCCACCAGGGACCCACACGTGTGTTCCCTACCCGTCATAATTTTCTTCCCCTCCCCCACCTCCATCCTCTCCCTCTCTATGGGCAGTGAACACATCACCTGCGTGGACACATCACCTGCAGGCTAACGGTGGGCTACTACTTTCAGAATCCATCGAATGCTTAAAAATATACACACACACATTTAAAATACAAAGCAGTTGTTTTTAAAGGTCAAACAAATCTAAATTTAACTCAACTTACCCTTGTTTCCCAGGAGAAAGGGGCAGAGTGCTCATCTTGCCAAGTTATGTCCTGAAATAAAAATTCAAGAATAAATCTCAAATCCAATCCCAGCATACCCCCTGCAAGCCATCTACCCAAGGCCCAAGGCCCAAAACTTAGGCACAACCTCCACTCCTAGCTCTAAACTAGCCTGAAGTTATGACGCTCTGCAGAGACATGTCTTCAGCCCGGCTTCACCCTCATGTCTCCGCAGAGGCTGCCGGGCACAGCCCTCACCGTGGGACTCCATGAGCAGGACTCAATCCCAGGCTCAAGTCTCAGCCCTCCCAGTTAGCCCTGTGACCATGTGGACTTTTTTGAGCTTCAGCTTCATCATCTGTAAAAGGAGAATTATACTTCCCTTGCAGGATTCAATCACATGATAAATGAGCAGAATGTCACACAACCATCTGCCACTCAACACCAAGGCATCTGAGCCCCTTTTTCTCCCCCAAGTGCCTCCAGAAACCACAAAAGTGCTGATCAACAGAATCAATGAAGAAAATGCCAATTTTTGAGTACCACATTATGAGAACTCTGAGATCCTTCACCCTCACCAAATAGAACATGATGGAGAGAGCCTTTTAGAAGCACCATGGAGAATTTGACTTTGCTCATTGGCTTACACAAATGATGGGGAAATCACCTTTCCATGACTAACCCCCACCCCAAACCCCAGCAGTATTTCTGTGCTAGCCAAAGTCTCATGCAAGGCCCGCTTCCACTGGGGATGGTATTTTATGAACCAAAAATCAGAGCCCACTGAGTGATACACACTGGACTTGAGCTCAACCGTCTTGAATGGAGACAGCTCGTCTGTAAAGTACCCCGATGAGTTATGTCTACTTCCTGCCCTCAGCATTTGGTGATCTGCCCCCCACTCCCACCCAGATGGGCCCACTGCCTTCAGAGTGGAGTCACTGACTCTGACTGAGCCTCGGGGCTATCCCTCCAGGCCAGTAGGCTTTGAAAATGAGAAGGAACATGAACCACTGCCTGCTGATGGTGAGTTTCAGTTCAACCCAAGCTGCTTCTAGTGTATAAACTCTGTCCCTCCAAATATGGAGATGGGCTGCAGTAAGGAATGGAGTTCAAAGGCCTTGGTGACTAGACAGCCCAGGCTGCAGGCCCAGCCTTTAGCTGTAGGCCCAGCTTTAGCTCTGTGTGTGTGTGTGTTGGGGGGCAGGGGGGGGGTCCAGCGTGTTTTGCAGGTACAGGAAGGGGATAAATCACCTGAAACTCCTTAAAAAGTCTATGCTCTCAGGATCCTCTAACTTCCTCTCATATGGAATAAAACAAGAAGGCCTGTTTTCAGATGAGAAAATTAAAGGAGGTCACTGGGATATAAATGTTATTTCTTTTAGATTTGGGCCTGAGGGGGAAAAGGAAAAGGAAAAAGTAAAGGAAAATCACCAGGCAAATACGCTCCTGCAACCCAGAGGTAGGACAGCCCAATGTCCGCCTCAGTGGACAGGGGAAGTGAGTGTGTGGAGGTTTACTGGGCAGACAGGGGCAGGGAGCGGAGCAGGACCGCTGCTCCAGAGCCCTGGACCCCTGACATACAATCCTACTCATCTTCCCACTCATCTTCTAAGTACTCATTACGCAGTTTGGGTCTTTCAAAGTCTGCAAAGATTAAATTAGGGTCTTGGTTTTGGAAGGTGAATGACAGTAAGACTCCTGAAGAACAGGATTTGGCTGGAGCTTGGTGAGCTGCCATCTCCATGGGTCCCCACATCAGCGGGGTCCTCAAAGGGGTCACTGACAGAGAATGGCACTGATGTCCCTTCAACCTGGTGACCAGTCAGGCCACAGTCTGGTTTGTTCCATCAAGAAACTGAGTCAAGGGGCAAATTGCTTATGTTTCTATAATTCTAGGCTCATAAAAAAGAAAAGAGCTTTATAAAAATAAATATGCCAAACAAAAATGTGACTGAAGCTCTGATGGCAGCCCTTGGCTGCGCACGCCAACCACAGAAAGCGATGCTGGTAAGAACAGGCTCCTCAGACGGTTGATGCACACCCAGTTAGGGCGGAAAACATGCACATGCTCACACACACTCTCTCATACACACACTCTCGTACACACGCACATTCAAACACTGCTGTCCTTCTCCCCCACTACCAGCAGACAACCAGAACATGGCTGTAGATACTCACATAAGCTTTCTGTAAAGTTGTTTACAAGGTTCACCCCCACTCCATCTCATGGCCAAGATAAGAACTGTGTCAGCACCAAGAGACGTCTGCCATTTTGCCCACAGGACCACCCTAAGCAGGCTTTATTTTCATTAAAAGTTATCCTCAGGGCCCTCCTTAGGTTGAAGCACAGCACTAAGAAGCTAAAGTCATGTCAGCATGAGTTCTATTCCTGGCCAGGGAGGTGACCCACATGGTGCCGTAGACCTCTCCTGACCCCCCCGCTGTTCCCTCAGCAATATACTTCATTGATCTGCCTGTTCTGCTCCCCACTGTCTCTCGTGAATCTGCTCACCGCCCCTGTACCTCTGGCCTGTACCCCAGTTTTGTATGCATAAATAAGTGTATCTTTAAAAAAAGAAAAGTTATCCTCAGAGTCAAATTTCTTTCCCTAAGAGACATCTCTACCTGAAACAATACTGAATCACTCTAGAAATCATTATTTTTCTGGAGCACGACACAGGTTTCCAAATCCCACAGAAAGCTAAAAAGCAGAGAGGAAGCCACTGAGCGCTGAGAAAAAGAGCCCCTGGCTGATAATCAGCAGAAGCCAGGACAGTGCACAGCAAGATACATCACACATCTTGCCTGTAACTTTCCAGAGGCCTTGATCACTCTCTCATCAAAAGTCACCTCCTAATAGCAGCAATAGTTGTGAAAAAGTATGAACGTACATCCTCTGCCTGTAGTTCTGGATCCACATGAACATGAAGGCTCTAACTGGTGTTCATTATTTGGTAAAGAACAGATACCAGGCATTTTTACTCCTGATGGTGCATCCTGTGGTATATTGGAGCAGGCCAGCACTGATTCACCAGAGATGACGGAAATTCTGAGGGATTGTTGGAAACTTGTTTTACAAAGTCATGACAGAAAGTGAACTTATTATACAAGGTTATACTTAAATACACTGTATCAAAATAAAAAGCAATACAGTTTACACCCATAAAGGTGGCTATTTTAATAAAGCACACACAAGTATTCATAGGATATGGAGCAGTTGAAGAAATGCACGCTGCTGATGAGAATGTAAAAGGGTACAGCCCCTACAGAAATGGGATAACCGTTCCTCAGAAAAAAAAAGAAAAACTAAACATAAAACAGAATTACCATTTCATCCAGCAATTCCACACTTAGGTAGAAGGGAGAAAAAACTGGAAACATGGACTCACCAGACGCCTGTAGGCCACTAATAAGTATTACATAATTCAGACACCTGTAGGCCACTAATCAGTATTACATAATTCACAACAGTCAAAAGCCATCAATAGCTGAACAGAAAAAATGAAGTGCATGTACAAGGGAATACTATACAGCCCTGATTAAGTGTTCTGACAGGTTTTACATGGATGGATCCTAGCGATATTAGCGTAAATGATATATTCCAGTCAACAAACATTGTATGATCTCACTTATTGCAGGTAACGTAATTGGCAAATTCATAGGGACAGCGTGCAGACTAGTTTGGAGGATGGGAACTGATTATTTAATGAATACAGAGTTTACATTTGAGGTGATGGAAAAGCTCTAAAAAATATATAGTGGTGATGATAGATGGCTGGGTAACATAGCGAATGTACTAAATAAATGTACACCTTAAAATGGTAAATTTTATGTTAGACACATTTTACCATAGTACAAAATATGAAAAGGCTATGTATTATATGAGTGTAACAATACAAAATTCTGGAAAAGGTAAAACTTTAGAGACAGTAAAAAGATTAAGTGGTTGCCAGAGGTTAAAAAGAGGGAAAGAAGAATAGATAGAGCACAGAGGATTTTTAGGGCAGTGAAAACATTCTATAATATGATAACATACTTGTCTCAAGACTTATAAAATGTATAAGGCCAAGAGTAAACCCCAGCTTAACCATGGGCTTAAGATAATAACAAGCGTGTTAACCCACGCCTTTGACTGTTGTGAATTATGTAATACTGATTAGTGGCCTACAGGTGTCTGGTGAGTCCATGTTTCCAGTAACAAAAGCCCCACGCTGGCGGGGGATGCCGACTGTGGGGGAGGGCAGTGCATGTGGGGGAGACGGAAGTATGTTGGAACTGTGGATTTCCCAGTTTTACTGTGAACTTAAAAAATATTGCACTAAAAAATATTGTTTTTAAAGGGCCCTCCCTAGTGGTGCAACGGGTTAGAGCGCAGCACAATGAAACTATCCACAGCCACTGCAGCACAAGTTCGATCCCAGCCATGGAGGTGACCCACATAGCACAGCAGACCTCTCCTGTCTTGCAACTCCTCCCCTCAGAAATGTCTTTTGGTAGATCCCTGTTCTGCTTCCTACTTTGTCTCTGGTGAGTCCTCTTACTCCCCTCCCACCCCCAAACACACATCTGGCTGGTACCCCAGTTCTTGTATGCATAAATAAATCTTTTTTTTTAAATACTGCTTTTTTAAAATGACCCCACCCCCAAAACCTACAATGATAGAAAATATTCAAATTTCATCATTTTTCACTACTTTTATAGATTTTGCCTTTCCTGTGCTCTTGAGAACAGTGTTTCCTCTACTATGTTTGCAAGACAAAGTACATCTAGAACTCTACCTAAAAGCGTTTCTGCTCCCTGCCAGGCTTGAGGTGCGTGGGGGGTGCCTGTTCCAGATGCTGAGCATCGAGAACGGTCATCCTTACTCCACAGGCCCAGAAGGTAAATATTTACCAAACTGCCGCAGGCTGCAGCCCATATCAGACAAGACAGACATCATTACATTCTACATCTATTCTAATTTTTGCATTTAAATGTTAAGAGGATTTTGGTGATGTGCTTTTGAAATTATTTGGTTACAAGTACCTCATCTATCATTGGCTATGATT